GGCTAGTTTCTTAAGTATTCAGGTACTTTTTCTTTGCTATCTCTTATTAATGCCATCCAAAGGGCAATGGTCAACAAGGAGGAGCAATTTTACACCTGCATATGACCTTAAAATGAAACATATGGGATTCAATTCAATTCAATTCAATTTGCCCCCTTAATTTGTATTATATTTCATTTTAAAATCATTTTTCAACTGAAAGAATTTCAAAATGCTTCAGAAACTTTACAAATGCAGTAATCATATTTTTGGATGCTGAAATGAAAATCTCTCTGAGGTGGAAAATGGAAGTTGTTCAAGAGCAAACAGTATATATTACAGTCAATTATATCCTAAATAACAAAATCTCTAGTGCACAACAGGCCATTAAAGCTTCATAGAAATTTAGAATATTGTACTTAATAAAGCAATTATAATCTGTCATCCCATCCTCAAGATAAGCAATACTGCCCTGGAGCTTACCTTATGGATTTCTTTGGTATAAATTAAACCTGCTGAAGTATAACTAAGAATTTTTAAATGCCATATTAATTTTACTCCATGGGGTATGTAATATGTTCCTAAATTTTAATATGTTCATGTTAATTTTTATAGAATGTCAATTAAAATTAATCTTATATAGAAGTGCATTAAAATCTTATATATAATACTGTAATTGTGTGGGCTGAAAATAGTGATAAGATAAACTGTGAAGAACGTATTTATTTATTGTCATATTGATATATATTTTTGTTTTGTTAACTTTTTTTTCCCAAAGGATTTATTTATTTGAAGGTCAGAGTTACACAGAGAGAGGAGAGGTAGAGAGAGAGAGGTCTTCCATCCGATGGTTCACTCCCCAGATGGCTGCAACGGCCGGAGCTGTGCCGATATGAAGCCAGGAGCCAGGAACCTCCTCTGGGTCTCCCACATGGTTGCAGGGGCCCAAGGACCTAGGCCATCTTCTACTGCTTTCCCAGGCCACAGCAGAGAGCTGGATTGGAAGTGGAGCAGCTGGGTCTCGAAACGGCACCCATGTGGGATGCTGGTGCTTCAGGCCAAGGCGTTAACCCGCTGTGCCACAGCGCCGGCCCCTTGTTAACTTTTCTTAGATGCACAAATCAAAATCAGTTATACATGACTATGGTCCACTGTAGTGACTTGGCAGGCACTGGTGCATAGATGTCCGTTGAGATCATGGATAAGGTGAGATTAAAGAGGACTTCAAGGTACTGAGCTCAAGTAATGCCACAAAAATACGTGAGGATGTGAATTTGGGAGCCAGAAGATCAACGATTTGGCCTTATCTGTGTGAAACAACTGCTCATAAATAGAACTGTGGTGACCCTAAGAGAGAAACATATGGACTGGAGATAGTTATGCACAGATCACCCAAAGAAGATAATGGAACGTGTGACAACTGATGAGTTCACCAAGATAAAGTCTTTTTTTTTAAATTTTTTTTGACAGGCAGAGTGGACAATGAGAGAGACAGAGAGAAAGGTCTTCCTTTTGCCATCCGAAGTCAGGAGCCAGGTGCTTCTCCTGGTCTCCCATGGGGTGCAGGGCCCAAGGACTTGGGCCATCCTCCACTGCCTTCCCGGGTCACAGCAGAGAGCTGACCTGGAAGAGGGGCAACCGGGACAGAATCCGGCGCCCTGACCAGGACTAGAAACCGGTGTGCTGGTGCCGCAGGTGGAGGATTAGCCTATTGAGCCGCGGTGCCGGCCCAAGATAAGGTCTTAAATGATACCAAGAAGTTCAGTTTAAGCAACCAGTTAAAGGGATCAGAAAGGCAAGAGTAGGGAAATGGGAAAATGCTTTTAGTGGATGGTAGGGAGGAGACTTTCCTAAAGCAGGAGTTGCATCAATAAAGAACTAGAAAGGATGATCTGTTCCACAAAGGAAGTAATTTAGAGACAAAATAAAGAGTGGGTATAATCAATAGTCTGCATATTTTATTTAAATAGAACAATGAATGTGACTTAAATCAACCTGGAGCAGATAGAATCAGTTCACAGTGGTCACTTCATGGCACTTCCAGGTAAGTTGTTAGGGAGTCCATCAGACAGTGTTTCTGGAGGTAGAACAGACCCATACTAGGGTATCCACTCTAGGGTCACACTGTAACTGAACCTGCTTCTGGGACAACAGTCTGCATGGTTTATGGCAGCAAGTCAAGTCGTATTTGGGACTGGTTGGGAACCTGTCCTTAGTAAGGCTCATATGTGGGATCCTGCCTTTTCAACTTTATCTAAGTAATGTTCTATGAAGTAATGCAGAAAGTTATGAAAGTTTCTGCTAGCAGAAATAAAAATCCCAATATACTTTTATACAGGGCTTTTAAAAGAAATCCCTGTATACTTTTAAACAGGACTTTTTCATATGTAAGTCATTGAGCAAAGGTAAACAAAAGCAATCAAACTCACAAGTGAAAATGTCAATTATTAAGGATTTGGAACTTAGCTTTGGTTGGAGATAGGCAGAAAAAGACAATGAAGTCGTTATCATTTGGGCAGAGTTATTATTTGTTGGTTAACTTCGAGTAGTCAGGGTAAACCAAGAAAATTATTTTCAATCTTAATTTTTCTGTTTTGGGTCTGTTTTCCAGAAAAAGACATAAATCATAATAAATTTGAATTGTAAAGTAAAATTAAATACAACTTTAAAAATAATAGTTTTTAAAATGAAAAAGTAATACATAGTCATAGTAGAAATTTACACATACTCACATAGGAAGATAGATAGAGATCTTTCATCTGCTGGTTTATTCTCCAAATGCCCCCAACAGTTGGGGCCAAGACAGACTGAAGTTAGGAGCTTGGAACTCATTTTGAGTCTCCCATGTGGGTAGCAGGGACCCAACCAGTTGAGCCACAACCACTATTTCCCAGTATGCACACTAGCAGGAAGCTGGAATTGGAAGTGGAGCTATGATTCAAACCCTGGTATTCTGACATGAGATGTAAATACCTTAACTGCTGCACCAAAGACCTGTCCCAAGAGTCACTTTTTTTCTAAGAAAGATTTATTTTATTTAGTTGACAGGCAGAGTGACAGAAGGACACACACACACACACACACACACACACATACACAAACACATTCACACAGATCTTCCATCCGCTGGTTCATTCCCCATATGGCTGCAATGGCCAGGGCTGGGCTAGGTGGAAGCCAGGAGCCTGGAACTCCATCCAAGTCTCCCACATGGGTGGCAGGGACCCAAAAACTTAGGCCATCATTTGCTGCCTTCCCAGACACATCAGCAGGGAACTGGATCAGAATTAGAGCAGCTGGGACTTAAACTGGTGCTCTAATAAGGGATATTAGTGTTGCAGGCAGTGGCTTAACCCACTGAGCCACAATGCCGAGCTGCCCTCCAAGTGTCACTCTTGAAAGGCAATTACTTTTGTTCTGATTTCTTGTGCATCTGCATAGAAAAAAAATGATTCTATTATGTAAGCAAGCATATAAATACAAGGGAGCTTCAAAAAGTTTGTGGAAAAACTGAATTAAAAGATAACGTGGGGGCCGGCGCTGCGGCCTAGTGGGTGAAGCCACCACGTGCAGTGCCTGCATCCCATATGGGCATTGGTTTGAGACCCAGCTGCTCCACTTCCAATGCAGTTCTCTGCTATGGCCTGGGAAAGCACTGGAAGATGGCCCAAGTCCTTGGGCCTCTGCATACACATGGGAGACCTGGAGGAGGCTCCTGGCTCCTGGCTTCAGATCGGCGCAGCTCTGGCCATTGCAGCCATCTGGGGAGTGAAACAGCAGGTGAAAGACCTCTCTCTCTCCCTCTGCCTCTCTGTAATTCTGCCTTTCAAATAAATAAATACATCTTTTAAAAAAAGATAATGTGAAGGAATGGGCATTTGGTCTATTGATTAATATGTAGATTAAGGCACCTCTGCCCCACATGGAAGTGTCTAAGTTCTATGCCTGGCTTTGCTTCTGACATCAGTTTTCTGCTAATGTAAACCCTGGGAGGCACCAGTGATAGCTCAAGTGACTGGGTTCTTGCCACCCACGTGGGACACCTGGATGGAGTTCCTGGCTCCCAGCTTTACTTCTGGCCCAGCTGCAGCTGTTGAGGCAATTAGGTAAACCAGCAGGCGGGAGCGCTTTCACTCTCGTACTCTCTCTCCTCCCCCTCCAAAATTTAAAAAGGTAACGTGAATTTTTCATAACCTTCTTGAAATCCCTCATTTGTATACAAGTGTGTGTTTATATGTTCCTAAAAAATACAAATTGGAACATAAATTCTTGCTAAATAATTTATCTTAGATATCTTTTCCTATTAGACACGAAGCCATCTTACTCTAACAACTGCATACACGGTATTGTAGAGTACGAATACACATTTATTTAGCTAATATCCTATTTACTAATATTATCTATCTAGTCCTTTACTTTCTCAAACAATTTTGCAACAAAAATCTTTTCACTTATATCTTTGTGTACAAGTAAAATACATTGCTTAGATAAATTCAAAGAAATTGGATTACTGGGTCAAGAATATGGATATTTAAAATTCTGATAGACACTGGGAAATTGCTCTCTAAAAATGTTCATAATGTCATCAACAGTGTATGAGAATGCCTGTTTCTTCAACACCTATCCATACAGCATATTATCAAAATTTTGAGTTTCGGTAACTGGAGAGAGAAAATTTTCATTTTCATTTTTAAAAAGACTGATTTATTTATTTGGAAGTCAGAGGTACAGAGAGAGGGAGAGGGAGGGGAGAGAGAGACGGAGAGAAAGAGAGAGGTCTTCCATCAGTGATGAAACAATATTCTAAAGTCATATCTGACTGTACCTCTCTTTTGGGAGGCAGGTTCCCAGAGAATTTATTGTTATATGAAGAAAATGTTATTATGTTGATAGTATTCTTACATAATGTGCAGCAACAAACTATTTTAACAAGGCAGTTTCACTAGATAGGTTTCATTTTTCAAAAAAGGGGAAGAAACACCATTCTGTGGCTCGATGTGGGTTTGTCAGTTATTGCCTCCCCATTTCCTGGGACTTCCCATTGCTTCTTTAGCACAAATCAGACTTGAGCGAAAACAACTCTTTTTCCGTGGAATCAGTTATAAAAAGAATGGCAATGCTACAAGCTGCTTAGTCCCTTAATCTTATTGAAAGGCTTGTGCACATTGCTGAAAGAGCACTGGCTGGCTTCTTCCTCTCTTTGGCTAATTGCTGTGATTCTCCAGGACTAAAGGAGCTGGTTAGTGAAGGTAAGAAAAGAAAGGCAAAGGGCCTTACAATGTTGCTACCATTTTCTCTCATTTCTCTTCTTACACTTTCTTTTTGCTCTTTACCACCAGAACTCAGATATGGTCTTCTAACACTTACAACGCTTTTCCAGGTTACCAAATCAAAGGAGAATAGGAGTTTAAGTAAGCATTCAATGGAGTTGGACAATAAAGAGAAATTAAGCCAAAGAAGTCCTTCTTCTCTTACCTCTTCATGTTTACATTTGGACATTTCTAAAAGATATATTTTTACTTAAAGCTTTGCATTCATCCGATCAAATATTTGTTGTGTCATTTATTCAGCCTTGTTTGCTAATTGTTACAGTGGTTTAGCTTCTGTGTTTAAAAAGAACGCGTACAAATTTAAGCAGAATTTTGCAGGCAAAACACCGCTCTTGACTTCAGTTACAATGATGTAGTTCCAGAGATGAACACAATCACAGTACATTCCAATTGGATTTGGCTCTCAATTATTCAATTCAGCGAGTAAGCAATAGTGTTTTCTATGCAGCAGGACATGCTCAAAGAATGAGATCTATCATGATGATGCTTTTCCAATTTTCATCTGGGTGATGTGGGGGAAAGGCTGCCTTTTGATATTAAAGACAGTGCAATCATGGGTGGACTTTTGTTTGAACTATCTTTAGTCCCACTCAAATATTCATTCTCTTGTGTAATTGAAAACAGACTTGGTTTGATGGGAATATTAATATTTTTATAACATTTCTTGCATTAGGACAGTGTGAGAAGATTGTTTCTGAGATTGAGAAGCTTTTCATAAAAGTGAAGAGTATCATGATGATAAGTTTGGAGACATGTAAAAGAAGTGCACAGATTTTATTATCTCAGAGCAAAGTGATGTTTGACTTAGTTATCTCAGATTATGGGAGTATTTCTAATCATATACATAATAAGTACTTTAGATATATAAAATTTTCTCTCCAGGTTCTTAACAAATGTTATATGACATAAATGTACCTTCATCTACTAGATAGAGTTATCTTCAACTTTTTATTTTGAAAAGTTCCAAACCATTTGAGAGTATATTTAGAACACATGTCACCCTATGTGACATACCTAAATCTCCTAAGAATAATGACAGTTGGGCTGGCGCCGTAGCTCACTTGGCAAATCCTCTACCTGTGGCGCCAGCACCCCAAGTTCTAGTTCCGGTTGGGGCACCGGGTACTAGTCCCGGTTGCTCCTCTTCCAGTCCAGCTCTCTGCTATGGCCCGGGAGTGCAGTGGAGGATGGCCCAAGTGCTTGGGTCCCTGCACCCGCATGGGAGACTGGGAGGAAGCACCTGGTTCCTGGCTTCGGATCAGCGCAACGCGCCGGCCGTGGTGGCCATTAGGGGAGTAAACCTACGGAAGGAAGACCTTTCTCTTTGTCTCTCTCTCTCACTGTCTATAACTCTCTCTCTGTCTCTCTCACTGTCTAACTCTGCCTGTCAAAAAAAAAAAAAGAATAATGACAGTCTTCCACATAATTATAGCATCATGGAAATTTAATATCTATACAATACTATCTAATATTGACCCACATTTAGATTTCACCCGTTGTCCACATGTTCCTTAGAGCATTTTTAGTTTTTAAAGATTTATTTATTTACTTTATTTGAAAGGCAGAGTGACAGATGGAAAGAGACAGAGACACACAGAGAGAAAGAGGTCTTCTATCTACTGGTATACTCCCCAAATGCCTGTCATAGCCCAGGCTAGTCCAGGCCAAAGGCAGGAGCCGGGAACTTTATCCTGGTCTTTCATCTGGGTGGCAAAGACCCAAGGTGCATTATTTGGAAGCTGTATTGGAAGCAGAGCAGCTGGGACTGGAACTGGCACTCCAATATGGGAAGCAGATGCCACAATATGGGACACTGTGCCACAAAGCCAGCTTTTTGCTATTTGTTTTTAAAATTTAGTGTGTAATTGAGGATCTTGCATTACATTTGGTTTTCATCCCTACAATTAAGCAAATGTCAATGGTAATAGGCATAATTAATATAAGTAACAATTATTAACAATTATAACATCAAGGAAATTTAACATCAATATGACACTCCTATGATCAGTTTTCTTATTTTCTTAGCCCTCTATCTGTGTCAAAATGCATTAAAAGTGATAATAATATTTAATTTTTCAATTTGTGCGACACTAAGAAAGAATATGAAGAAAAAAACCTAAGTATGACAAAATATATTTACAAAATATTTCTGCCCCCAAATTTACATCTTCTGAAATACGGAAACTCACATAGCAGATAAAGTCCTTGGAAGTAGCTGTTACCTTTGGTCATAAGAATTCATGCAGAACAAATGTAAAATTATTTATTTACTTGGTAATGTTAATATGGAAGACAGAGGATTTTGATTTACTATTGTACTATCTTAGCCTGAAACTAATTTCTTAGGAATCACTTCACATTTGAGAGATTAGATAATACCAAATTATTTGCTTTGTAATATATAGTATGGATTTGATTACATTATAATTAGATAAAGAACAAAACAGTATTTAAATTTTCCATCATAACTCTTCAGTGATTTATATGCAAGTCTTCCAAATCAATAAAAAAAATTTGGATTGGAATTACAGGATCTAGAATTTATATTATAGGGGGAAATAGAGAAGTGAAGAGATGAAATACAGGATTTTGAGGTTTGGGGGTATTAAAAATTTTATCTTTGATATGTGACCTACATGTAATCTAAGAAGACAGCTTGTTTCACCCTTCAATTTAAGGTGAACATAAGTTTGCTCCTTTGATTAGAAAAGTAAGAAATAGTTATATGTTTCAAAATGTCAGTGAAAGCAGTTAATTTTAAACATTGCTAGTGATAGAATAAATTTCCCAAGCTGCTTAAAAGACAATTTGGCAATAGTTCTGATCTAGAAAGTCCACTGCTCCAAATGTGACCTAAGGAAACATTCATGGAGGCACATGCAATGATTATATACAGTGAAAAAGCACGAAAAACCTCAATATCCAATATGATAAATGATTTGCTAAAACAAGATATTCCTGTATAGACATACAAGTTCTCAACTGTTAAGAGGTGGATTGGTTTAAGCAGACATGCTGACAAATGGGAGCCAAACTGCACCCTAGCTAGCTAGGCCTAAGATCTCCTATTGAAATAGCAGGTAACATTTTCATGTCTTTAACTCCTCAGGCTTGCATTCTGTGATGCTGGGAGGCAGCTCCATTCCAATACCTCCATTTCTGTGTGGATACTGGAGGTCTCCTTGGTACCCATTTCAATCCAGCCTCTCCAGATAGCTTTCTTTGCACACACTTAAAATGTTCAAGAGGCAGGCTCTGTTCTGCTGCCTTCTCACACCAAATTCCCCTCTCTCCTCCAAGCGCCAATGCTTATTTTCCTTTGCTATTGCCAGTTGCTCCTTCACTTCAAAGACTGCTCCAATAATTTATTTTACCTTTTAAGGTAGCAGCAGGGTTTTACTAAAGTTGCATGCAATCCTGATGAACACTTTGGGATAGGGGAAAGAAGAAGCTAGACTCCTTTCCAATTTAGGGACAATAATTCTGAATGGGTGGCTAAGGGATCCAAAAGGTTAAAACAGGAAATGAGACTTGGGGGTTATGTATGGTGGGCCAAAGGATGGCTAGGGAACTAGGGCTCTCAGGACAGAAGGAAAAAATGCAAAGATCTCTGCAGTGGGCATAAGGTTTGAGGGAATGGGAAGGAGCTGGTTCTTATGTGAAAAAGACAACAGTGAGGCAAGCGAGGCAGACAAATAGCACATATCATGAGGGCCTAATATCCCTGGAGATGATGGAAAGTGGTTGGTATTTAAAAAGGGCATCTGCAATATTAAATTACTCTGTTACTCTGTGGAACTTGGTTGTAAAATTAAGGGTAAGATGATGCCAGTCTATAACAGTAGGAATAGTTAAGGAAAATGTTCTTATGACTAAATTTTAAAAATGGAGGATACATTATTTGTGTACCTCAAAGACTTATGAGCACTGACACACAACTGAGATGTGTGTAGTTACTCTGAGGTGGGCACTGGATGTCCCCCTAGAACTTTTTCATTCTGTACTTCATTTTGCTGCCTTCTTTCATTTGGCAAGTGCTGTTGTTATGAAATGGCATCAGAGCTGATGCCCTTTTTCTAGAAGGGCTAATTGCTTGTTATCATGACTCCATGATATTAACTGCTCTCAACTATGTGGTTTATGATATCCTGTAAGAGCAGAACACACATTTTGGAGTTTGTAAATTTGGGCTAGAATTTTGCCTCTAGCACTTAGCAGCTATATGACCTTGGGAGGGTGGTAACCTGTTTTCTCATTTGGAGATCTGGATCATGGTAATTTCTTTTCTTTTTTTTTTTTGAGATCTATTTATTCATTTGAAAGTCAGAGTTACACAGAGAGGAGAGTCAGTGAGAGAGAGAGAGGTCCTCCATCCACTGGTTCACTTCCCAATTGGCCACAACGGCTGAAACTGCAACAATCCAAAACCAGGAGCCAAGAGCTTCTTGCGGGCCTCCCATGCGGGTGCAGAGGCCCAAGGATTTGGGCCATCTTGTACTGCCTTCCCAGGCCATAGCAGAGATCTGGAGCAACCGGGACTCAAACCAGCACCCATAAGGGATGCCAGCACTGCAGGCGGCGGCTCCACCCGCTACGCCATAGCTCCGGCCCTGATCATGGTAATTTCTAACGTCCAGTGTTGTTGGAAAGTTAGGAGTAGTGTATGGAAAGCACCCAACACAGAGTTACTATCATTGTCGTGCCCTATCCAACTTATCACATATTCTTTTTTAAAAGGAATTTATTTTAAGATTATTTATTTATTTAATTTGTTTGAAGGGTGGGGGTTGAGAGAAAGAATGAGAAAATTCTCTCATCTGCTGGTTTACTCTCCAAATTTCTGCAAAAACCAGAGCTGGGCCAGGCCAAAGCCAGCACCTAGGAATTTAATCCAGGTCTCCCTTGTGGATGGCATGGAC